CAATCAACCAACTTAACCTTAATCTACATATACAGAACACTTCACCCAACAACCACACAGTACACATTATTTTTTCCAGAGCACTTGGAACACAAACCACATATTATGCCACAAAGCAAGCCTCTATACATTTAAATACTGGAAAACATCTTCTCAGCTCACAAAACTATAAAGTTAGAACTCAACAATAGGAAGATTAAGGGAAAAGAAGTAAACACATAGAAACTGAATAATACCCTACTTAAAAAATTACTGGGTAATAAAAAAAAAAAAATGAAATTTAAAAAATTCCTTGACTCAGAAGAGAATGAAAACGCAGCATACCAAAATCTTTGGAACACAGCAAAAACAATGCCTAGAGGGCAATTTATAGCAATTAATGCACTCATTAAAAAAAAAGAATGAGCCAAAAGTCAACACTTTAGCCCACGTCTCTAACAATTAGGAAAAGAGCAGCAAAATAAGTCACCAGAATAAAAGATTTGCGCAGAAGTAAATGAAGCAGAACACAGAGAATCAACAAGACTAGAAGTTGGTTCTTTGAAAAGATTAATAAAATCGACAAATCACAGGCAAATGGAAAAGAAGGAGAAGATGCAAATAACATAAATAAGAAAAGGGTAACCTCACAAGAGGCCAACTGAAATAAAAAGGATACTATGAAGAACTCTACTCCAACAAATTTGAAAACCCAGAAGAAACAGACAGCTTTCTAGAAACATACAACTTACCTAAACTAACACAGACTAAGGTAGAAAATTGACCTCCAATAAAAGAAGAAATTGAACAAGTCATTAAAAAAAAAAGAAAGAAAAAAAGTCCTGGCCCAGATGGCTTCTCTGATGAATTTTATTCAACATTCAGAGAACATCTGACACCAATTCTACTCAAACTCTTTCAGAATATAGAAAAGGAAGGAATACTCCCAAATTCATTTTATGAAGTAAGCATAACCCTGATACCAAAGCCAGTCAAAGACACCCCCCCAAAAAAAGATTTAAATTTTAGTCCAATATCCCTCATAAACATAGATGCAAAAATTCTCCATGAAATCTTAGCCAATAGAATCAATCAATAAATAAATAATACATCATGACCAAGTGGAATTCATACCAGATATGCAAGGATGACTCAACATTAGGAAAACAATCAATGTAATCCATCACATAAATAAAATAAAGGAACATCATTATATGATCTTATCAACAGAGACAAAAAAAGCATTTGACAAAATCCAACACTCATTCCTGATTAAAGAAACACTGAACAAAATAGGAATAGAAAGGAAATTTCTCAGCAAAATTAAAGGCATATATACAAAACCAATAGCCATCATTATTCTCAATGGAGAGAGGCCTAAAGCATTCCCTTTACAAATGGGTACCAGACAAGAATGCCCTTTATCACCACTCTTGTTCAATATTCTGTAGGAAGTCCTAGCCAGAACAGTAAAGCAAGAAAGAGAAATAAAAGGCATATAAATTGGCAAAGAAGAAGTAAACTATCTCTATTTGTAGAGGATATGATCCAATACATAGAAAATCCAAAAGACTGAACAAGAAAATTATTGGAGCTAATTGAAAGTTTCAGCAAAGTGACAGGGTGCAAGATCAACAAACAAAAATCAGTCAGGTTTCTTACACTAAGGAAGAGAGCTCTGAAAATAAATTAGGAAAACTATAACATTTTCAATAACCACCCAAGAGATAAAGTATTGAGGATTAAATCTAACCAGAGACCAAAGACCTATACAAAGAAAACTACAAAACACTACTACAGGAAACCAAAACTCACTGCCATCAAGTTGATTTCTACTCACAGCCTTGGAAACCCAATGAAGGTTACTATGAATCTGTACGGAAGCAGACTGCCTCATCTTTCATTGTGGAACAGCTGATGGGTTTGAACCACTGACCTTATGGTTAGCAGCCAAATGCCTTAACCACTATATCACCAGAGCTCCTTACAAGAAACCAAAAGAGACCTACACACATGGTAGAATAAACCACCCTCAGGCATAGAAAGACTTATCATTGTGAAAATGTCGATATCACTCAAAGTGATCTACAGATGTAATACAATCCTAATCCAGAGTCCATGATCATTTTTTAAAAGAATCTGAAAATTAATCACCAACCTTATATATTCAGACCCTTGATAAGTAAAGCACTACTAAAGAGGAACAAAGTAGGAGACTTTGCACTCCCATATCTCAAAACCTACTATTACAGCCATGGTAGTTAAAACAGTCTAGGGCTGGTACAATGACAGACACTTAGATCAATGGAACAGAACTAAGAACCCAGAAGTAAATCTTTCTACCTATGGACAGCTGATCTTTGACAAAGAGCCAAAAATCATTAAATGGGGAAGAGGTGGTCTCTTTAATAAATGCTGCTGGCAAACTGGATATCCACTGGCAGAAAAATGAAACAGGATTCCTATCTCTCACCATATACAAAAATGAACTCAAGTTGGATCAAAAACCATCAAAGAAGAAACAGGAACAAACTTAGGGGCCCTAATACATGGCATAAATACACTATGGAACATAAGTGAAAATGCACAAACACCAATATACAAAATACATGACTAGGACATCCTAACAATTACACACTTATGAACATCAAAAGATTTCACCAAAAGAAGAAAGAGAGAACCCACACACTAGGAAAAAATATTTGGCAATGACATATCAGAGAAGGGGCTAATCTCTAAAATTTATAGAGAACTTCAACATCTTAACAAAAAGACAAAATAATCCAATTAAAAATGCAGAGAGGATATAAACAGATACTTCACCAAAGATGACATTTAGATAGCCAACAAACACATGAAGAAATGCTCATAAGCAGTAGCCAATAAAAAAACAAAAAACAAACAAAACCCACTATCATCGAGTCGATTTTGACTCATAGCAACTCCCACTGAGTTTCCAAAGCTGTAAATCTTTATCAAAGTACATTGGCTCATCTTCCTCCCATGGAGTGGCTGGTGGGTTTGAAATGCTGGCCTTCTGGTTAGAAGCCAAATGTCTTATGCACTGTGCCACCACAACTCCTTAAGTAGATTGCCAGGCTTTTCTTCCCAGGTGTTCTGAGTAGACTCAAACCTCCAACCTTTTGATTAGCAGTGAGCGCATCAACCAACTGAGCTACCCAGGGACTCCTCAATCAAAACAGAGAGATATCATGTCACTCCAGCACTAATAACAAAGTTAAAATAAACAGAAAACAACAAATGCTGGTGAGGGTGTACAGAGATTGAACACTTATATACTGAAGTTGGGACTGTAAAATGGTATAAATACTGAAAAATGTTATGGTGCTTACTTTAAAACCTGGAAATAGAAATACCGTATGATCCAGCAATCCCACTACCAGGTATATATCTCAGAGAAATAAGATCCATGACACAAACAAATATATGCACATCCATGTTCATAGCAGCATTATTTACAATAGAAAAAAGCTGGAAATAACCTGTGTATCAACGGAAGAATGGTTAAACAAACCATGGTACATACACACAATGGAATACTACACCACATTAAAGAACAACAATCAATCTGTAAAACATCTCATAACATAGATGAAACTTCAGTACATTGTGCTGAGTGAAATTAGTCAATCACAAAAGAACAACTATTATATGAAGCCACTATTACAAAAATTAAAGAAAAAGGTTTCACACAAAAAGAAATGTTCTTTGATGGTTACCAGGGGTGGGAGGGGAAAAGAGGGTAAACCACTAACTAGAAGAAGATGCATATTAACTTGGGTGAAGGGGAAGACAATAAAAAAGAAAGAAAAAAGCCTACAACTAGCACACTGTCACCTACAGGAGCACCCACAAAGTCATCATTCATGTCTGCCGTCAAGTCAGATCCAACTCATAGCAACCCCTCCTTGGGTTTCCGAGGCAGTATCACTATGGAAGTAGATTGCCCAATCTTACTTTCAAGGAGTGGCTGGTGGATATTCACAAAGTAGGATATTTAAAAAAAAAAAGTATAAATATCCATAAAGTGGGATATATATATTTTTAATGTATAAACTGTTGAATGGAAAACTAATTTGTTCTGTAAAGTTTCACCCAAACTAGAATAAAAATAAAATAAAATAAAATCTCAAAAATTACTTTTAGTTAAGTACACACAGGGAACTCTATGCACAGGAATGTTCATATATGTATACAGTATTAAAAAGTTCAGTGTGAGGTCTAGGTAAGATTCTGCCACAGTTCTGTTCTCATTTAGCTTTGTGACAGAGAAAACTTCTACTTGCTGACAAATCATTGGTAAGATCCTTTCCAACAACCATGAAAATTTTAACATGGGAGTTTGACTTATCCCAACAGGCTATATTGACAGCTAAGTAGAAATAAGGGAAATATTCTGTAGGAACCACGTTCTCGCTCTCAAAGTGAAAACATATGAATGTTATGCTTAACATTTTGAAGACCACCTCACAGCTGAGTAGAACATACAGAAAATGAACAATGGATTGTATGGTAAGCTAAAACGGAGTAGGTAAAACTACTTTAAGGACACATTAAAATTCACTTCATTTTGGGGAAAAAAAAAAAAAAAAAGCCTATGAACTGGTGAAAACCGGGACCAAAGTAATGGCCCATTAAAGTAAGTGTGCTTTATTCAGAATACAAGTAGCAAAAATAAGGCTATGTTAGAAATAGTTAGCCAGGAAGAGAAGGCTCTGGCGGGGGGAAATTTTAGTGGCTAAATTAACCACAATTTAGTACGTCTAATACTATGCTTAAATACAAATGATTACATATAATTTATTCTTATCATTCATTGTTAACATTGGCCCTGGTGAAGACACTACTCAATTGTAATGGTGAAACACAAAAAATAAGATAGAAGACAGGAAGAAATGTTTCCTTTAGTGTCCTTGCAAGTCAAAAGAAGAAATGGATAGTAAAATATATTTAATGGGTTATAATTAGTTAAAAATTAAGAAATTAAAAGTTGTACTTACTACAAGATTGTATCCTTGAAATTCCACTTCCAGCTCCATGCAAGCTTGAGTCAAAACTCTGACTGTTTCTCACGGTGACTGGAGAACTAACGCTGCTACTAATGGTGGTTGCACTTGGCATTCGGGCTAGATTAGGCATACTTCTTCGGAGCTTGTCTGGAAAGCATTTTACGAAGTTAAAAAAATCACAAAATTTCTGCCAATTAAGACATTAGGCTTCAAAAGTAAGTAAGAAATAAAAGTCATACTTTATTATAAGTAAAAAACCATCATCTGCTTTATGAACTATAACAAGATAACAGAGAATTAATTGCCTGCACTGGAAAACACATTTAATAACTCCAGAAGAATTCTACCAAAATGAACTGTCTTTTGGTAAAAGAAAGCAAATGTTCTATAAAAACAGGTTAAGGATCAGCTATTTATTTGAATTAGCTATTTATTTGAATTCAGTAAGTGGATAAAATTAAAGTAAGGTTAAAAGTAATATTATAACCATTTAATTTTAAAAACTAGAAATTAAAATACATGCTAATGTAAAAAAAAAAATCTAACAGCAGAGTCAAAATCAACACATTTCCTTTCTGGTCTAACTTACAGAAATAAAACAAATTCCTTTAACTTGAAATTCCAACTTGAGATGCTAGATAGCCAATCATCACATTAACATGGCCATATTAACTTCAAAAAAGTTTTAGCTGTCATGAGTATAACCTAAGATGTTTGGAGAAAAAGACAGAGAATGTTTCCATTTCTTTCTCCTTGTTGTTAGCACATCTTCTGCCACCAAAGGGCAGCAGAGAGTCATATGCAGATCTCGGTGTTACTGAGGCTTGAAATGAGCCTCAAAACTATAATTCTACAAATTATTTTTCTCTTATTAATACATAAACACCTAACCTTAAAATCTAAAGTACATCTATTAGGTAACTCAAGTTCATGGTCATTTTCTTTCTAACTAAATCAGAAAACAAAGGTTATATTAGAATATTTGAAGCCAAAACATTTTCAAATACAAAACTGAATTCTTTACGTACATTACTTTTCCCCTCTCCTTGCACTGCTCTTACGTTACTTAGAACCACCCATTGACTGTTCAGCAAGTTACCTAATTCATACACTTGGGGAGTCTCCTATGCTTCATGTCCATCCACTACTCCAAGTTTTGTCAACTCTATCTCATAATTTATATTTAATTAATCAATTAATCTCCCTCTAGCTGCTTGTGGTAGTTATATGTTTGTATGTCAACTTAGCTGGGCCTGATTGAGTGGCTGGGCAGCTAGTGGTAGTTATTCCCCATGATGAGACTGGTGATCAACTTCATGGTAGGATCTACCACAAGAAGCTGAATAGCTGCCTTTGGGATATGGTCTGCTTCCTGTATATAAGGAGAAGCCTTGGGGATAGTAGTTAGCTTATGACACTCTTGGACCCTGCATATAGCTGTGTTGTTGCTCAGCAGCCTGCTATGCTCTGCTGACCTTGGGATTTACAATGGACCTAAATTAAGTTAATGGCCTGCCATGCGGTTTGGTAACATCGGGACTGTGCCTTTTACTTGTCAACCTTGGGGCTTCTCAGCCTCAGCAGCCAGCAGCTGTCTGAGTGAAGAAATGCCTCTTGCTCCAGTGGGCCAGGAGCAGGACGCAGAGCTTGACCCTAAGGTTGAGGGGCTTTCACCCAGCCTCCAGAGCCTGGCACTTGGAACTTGGACTTAAAGCCTCCAAATTGTAAGAATAAACTCCAGTTTGTTAAGGTCTCCCATTTGTGGCATATTCTTGTCAGAGCGGCACCAGAACACTCCTCATTCAGACTTATTATTTATTACCCAGATTTTCATAAAATTCTTTTCATTGGTCTCCATGCACCCAGTCTTGTTCCTCTAACACATCTTCTGCATAGCGTGTTTCACTCGTCCCAGACACCTACTACATACTTACTCATCCTTTTACTTAAAACCTCCAACTCTAATTTTCCTCTTATCTTCATCTGAAAGTCCAAGTTCATGAGCAGGGCTCCTCAAGACTCTATACACTTTTCAATCCTTGTCCCCTGCTACACCCCACCCCCGGTACTCAGCCTACTTTCCAACTTCAGTGGATGAATGAAGCTCCCAAATGTGCCACACTTTCTTGTACCTGTGAGCATGTTAGTTCCTCCACATGGACACTCTTCCTCACTTTTTGTAAATAATGAATAAATAAATGAAAATTTATTGAATGTATACTAAATGTCAGATTACTACATAAAACGTTAGGCAACTGGGTGGCACAAATGATTAAGTACTTGACTACCAGCTGAAAGGCTGGTGGTTCAAACCCACCCAGACCTTGGAAGACAGGCCTGGTGATCTCTTTTTGAAAGGTCACACACAGCCTTGAAAACATTATGCAACAGTTCTGCCCTGCACGTATGGGGTCACCATGAATCAGAATCAACTTGATGGGAACAAACAACAGAATCATACAATATGTTGTATGTTGGGAGTACCATAGTGTGTTAAATGGATACAATCCCTGACTCAGTGAATTCATAGACTAGAGCAGTGTTTCTCATTTTTATTCTTCCATTATCATTCCCTCAAGGAGAAAAACTTAAAAAAATTTAAATTAAATTTAGTTTCTTCCCAAAGAGAATAATTAAATATTAAAGAGTAAGATGTTTGAAATGTAGGGTTGAATTTTGAAGGACCACAAACCACTGTAATATTGAAGATTTTTTTCACCCTCCCAACTCTAAGATATTGTTATCTTTATTAATATACATCTCCAAACACTAAAGTGTACATATCAAGTTACTCAAGTTTGTGGTCATTTTCTTTGAAATTAAATCAGAAAGCAAATCATATACTTGAATACTAATTCAAAAACAGCAAAAATTTCTTTTTTCTCCCCCTTCAAATGCTGTTCCTTTTACATTACATATATCCATTAACTGTAGCCCTGTTCAGCAATTTTCACCCTCTGGGGTAGGGTCTAGAGGAAAAGACAGAAAATTAAACAAGTATAATAACTGTATACAGCATTACAAAATAAAGATACAAATATGTATATCTTATCCACCTACCTAACTCACTAGTCCTTTAAGAATTAGCTCAACTATCACCTCCTTAAACATAGCAATAATAGTGAGGATGATGCAGGACTGAGCAATGTTGTACATAGGGCTGGCTATCAGACTGAAGCGGTTCTATGGCATCTAACAATAACGTCACTTCCTCCTAGAAGATTTCCCATACATCTCCTGCAAAAAAAGGCATGGGGTTGGCATCTTCTGACCTCTTCTAACTTCACAAAAGGAAAAGAGAATCTCCATCAACAGCCCAAGGCTTATTCCTATGAGGCCAGACATGCCGCCGCCACCCTCCATCCAGCCTTTTATCAATTCTGACACCAACCATCCCCCCTCCATGGCACTTACAACTTCTCTGCTGGGTTCAATAACTTGTTGTAATGGCCACATAGAACACAAAGACAATACTCACAATTATGGGGTTTATTAGGGAAGCAACAGGCTATGTATGATTCAGGTTCAGGAACACGCTCAGGATACAATTCTTCAATCAGGACAGTTTCCCCTCTGCTGTACACTCAGACATGCCTCTCTAGCCCTTTGCCTCTTGGCCTGGCCTCTGCCCTGCTTGGGCAAGTTACAAAGCTCTTTTAGCTCTGCCGAGAAGTATACCTAGGTGCACACAGCTCTGTCAGCAAGCCTCCTGCCTAAAGGCACTCAGCTTTCTCATTTTGTGAGCCAGGTAAGCATGCTCTGTCTTGTGCCTCTTGGTTCTACTGCAACCACCTCTCTGCCAGGCATCTCTCTCTCTCTCTCTCTCTCTCTCTCTGCCAGGCGTCTCTCCCTGCCAGGAGTTTTTCTCTATCTCTCTCTCCATCTCTCTGCCAGGCAGAGGTCCAGTGCAGGGATCTGGAATCCAAGAAAGCATTCTACTTCATCTCCAGCTCTTCTCTCTTGATGACACTGAAATCCCCTTTTCTGCCTCTAGGAAGGCTCATATTAAGCCTGGTGGAGTGACAAAACTAACCAATCCCAACATCAGAGTTCTACACACCTTATTTGCATGGTCGCACCCAGTAGTCTGGTGGGAGTTACAAAATTATGGCTAGAAAAGCCATCCCAAATTAATTCACTGCACCACACCTCCTGACAGAGGTATCTGCCACTTATACAAGGTTTCTCACTCTGGACATATTTTTACTGTCACTGAAGGAAGACTGGGCAATCTACTTCTGTAGAGATACCACCTTAGAAACCCAAGGAGGAGTTGCTATGAGTCGGGATCAACTTGATGGCAGTGAGTTTGGGTTGTTGTGTTTTTTTTTGATTGTTAAATTCCTGACCATTTTCCTCATTATCTTCTTGAGGCCTACTTTTAACAACCATAGATCTCATATTATCAAATTCTTATTAAAGTTCTAACCCAAAGCAGTTGGCATTTAATAATTTCAGAGCATAGTATGCATGCATATATTGGGAAGAGGTATGTGGTAAGAGTGAAAAAGTGAAAGAGAAGGACAGAATCTCCATCTAAATCGTTTGACCATCACAGTAAGAGGCATGAAAAATTGAGCTTCTATCAAAAAGATACTAAATTATTTTGAATAAGTATTTTTAAGCTGCAAGGAGGGCGAAGGAAAATAATTATATGGTATTACTTAGAAACTGAACTAAATTTGTTTTTTAATTTCCCAACTATTATAAAAAATTTCATATATACATAAATGTTGACAGATAGTAATACAAAGAGCTATGAGTTTTCCACCTAAATTCAATGATTATTTTTATTGTGGCATATTTAGTTCATCTCCCTATACATATACACATTTGTTTTTTGTTGTTAAGCCATTTGAAAACTGCAGACATTTTACACTTCGACCCTAAAAGACACATGTATCATCTAAGAATAAGAAAATTCTGTAGAATTACAATACTATCATCACACCTAAAACAAATTCACGCATTTCATAAACCAATCTGTACACAAAACTTTCTAAATATCTCAAGAAAATCTTTGATTACCTTTTCCCTCAAGCTACAATCCAATCAAGGTTCATACATCATACTTGGTCTTTATGTCTCTTTTAACCTAGAAGTTTCCGATTTTTTCTTCCCCCTTCTCTGTTCGAATGGCATTGATT